GATTCTGACAAGTCAGATAATGGAAATGACAAATGCGCAAGTGCATTCCTTCCTGAAAAAAAGAGGGAAGAAAATTTTGTCAACGCCTCTCTTTCACACTATGGGACCTTAAACAACTACTTCATTGACTTCAATAGCGTAGATCTGGAAGAAAATGCTCCTGACAGGACTCATCTGGGACAAACTAGGGATGGAGAACATAATTTAACAAGCACCTCCACCAAAGAGGTCACAAATGCCTGCTCAAATAAGGTAGCAGGGCAGAAATCTCTAGCAGGTTTATGCATACTGCTTGCTGAGGATACCCCAGTTCTGCAAAGAGTCGCTACCATAATGCTGGAAAAATTGGGAGCTAAAGTGGTGGTTGTAGGAGATGGACTACAGGCAGTGGAAGCACTGAAACCTGTGCCTAATTCAGATGAATGTAGAAATGAATCTCTTCAGGAAGATGATAATTCAATTACCTCCCAAGCTGAAGGCTCTCATTCCCTTCCTTATGACTTGATCCTCATGGATTGTCAAGTAAGTAGAGCATGAATTTACGGTTATAAGAAACTGCTGTGTTTGCTGATATAATTGCTTCTTAACAGATGCCGAAGATGGATGGTTATGAAGCAACAAAGGCAATTAGAAAATCAGAAATGGGGACAGGAACACACATTCCCATTGTTGCACTAACAGCTCATGCAATGTCATCAGATGAAGCAAAATGCTTACAGGTTGGTATGGATGCTTATTTAACCAAGCCCATAGACAGCAAGTTGATGGTTTCCACCATTCTTTCCTTGACTAAAAGAAAAGCCTAACCATCATACCTCTCTATCAAAAACGGAAGAAACAAACAAAAATGGAAGAGCTCAGAAAACTCATGAGCTTAAAGCAGAGCTTTGATAAGCAATAGTATTGCAATCTGTACAGGAAACTAACTTTGTAACTGTTCTATAGCTTATGCAAAAGTCTCAATAAGTTTATCAGATTTTTTATTAGAAAAAGTATGGAAATCTGTACAGGAAATGTCTGTAAACACTAATTTTGCATCTGTTATAGTTAAAGCAGAAGTTTGTAATAAGCATCGAAAACTAACTAATGGATGGATTTAGAGAATTAGATCGGAAAGAGGTCAACTTAGGGGGTAGCAACATAGATCTGCACAAGGGGCAAGTGACGTGTCCATCGTTCACCCAAGTATCAAGGCATCCCCTGTGGAAGACATGGCTGCAGGTGATGAGCTCTCTGACCTCCTCATCTAGCTCCATGGATTCAAGGCAGATTGAGCATCCCTTCACTGATTGACCGCATTTCCGCCGGCGGCAGAGGAGGTAATCGCTGTAGAGGAGTATGGGGACTTTGAGCTTGACGGCGGCGGTGGCAACCTCGATTGGAACGGTGACAAGGGAAGGGCAAGTGCCGTCTAATAGAAGGATGTAACTATTGGGGTTGTAGCTTGAATCGGCATCGTCTTCTTCAGGGGGAGGTTTGCAGAGTCCCAGCCGAGTAACGAAAACAATCACCGTTAATTTGAGATATCTCCATAAGAATGCCAATTTCGGTAATTCAATCACATGGAATAGGAACCCCATCACTCACAAAAAGAGTATAGTTTTTCTTAGTGGAAAAACACAACTGTCATCACTTTCCTAAATATATATAAATAATATGTTCTTCTGTTCCTATTTTATTGCCTTTTTTATATATATATTTATTTTTATTTATTTGTGTATTTTTTTAAAAAAAAAAATCTTAATATGTTTTTATTTAATTCTAAAAAAAATTTAGTACTACTAAATTGCAATGCATATTTTTTTAAATCAAAAAATACATTTATTAACTTAGGAAATTGGATAATCTTTTAAGATAAAAATAAAATTATCCTTAATATATATATCACATCTAAAGTAAACAACTAAATAGGGATTGAGAAAATAATGACTAATACTTTGTCATATCAATAATGTTTTAAAAGAAACATACATACATATATCAATTTTGAAAATAAAAGAAGCAAAAGTTTGCCGCTTCTTAGAATAAAATATAAGTTTGGATAAGAATTAATTTAGTGATTAGGTGTTCAATTAAATTAAAAATGGCTGGTAAAAATATATAATATACATGATTAATTAATATATGATCTAGGTATATTTGTGAAAAGTAAATTTCTCTGATTATTTATATGATGAAAGATTCCAATATTTTTATATAACTAAAATAATTTTTATTCAATTATTATATCAAAGTAAATACAAATCTCGGGACACTTCAACTTCTTTGCATAGAATAAATTAATGAATTCAAATATGGAGATCACCCACCTTAACAAAGGAACACCAACTCATACTTTTTAACATCAATTAATATCTTGAACATGCATTGCACGTACATTTCATATTAATTGGTATATTTAAGTTAAAAAAAAATTAAAATATGTGTATCCTGAGTTGCACGAAATTATAGAGAAAAAAAATAAAAAAAATTGCTTTGAGATGTATTAAAAAAAATCGAAGCATTAATTTGATATTGTCGTTCTCAAATGTATAAAAAGGAAAATGCCAGGATATAAAAACTGCAAAAGAAGAAATAGTTTCTCCTCCCTGAAAAAAAAAGAATGAGTAATCATGTCGTTATCAAATGTTAAACAAAAGTGGCTAATAAAACTTCCAAACATAAATATAGGAAACAACTCATATAACTCACACTCACAGACACTATCTTGTTCGAGCAATATGTCATGGATAAAAAGTAAAATTCATAAGATAATATAGGAAAAGAAATCAACAAATATTATGAAGGAAAAACGATCATGTGATAAATATTTTATTTATTGCATTTTTATTTACATGTCTACTTACATAATAAAAATAGATCAATAAAAATGTATTACAAATTATAATAAACTCTTTTTTTAAGTATAAATAAACAACAACCAATTAGTAAACTTATGAGATACATAAATTGGTGGAGCAAAAGGAATAGCACCTAGAATTTTAAGTGTTCCATCTTATAATAATTCATACTAAAACTGATAATACAAAAAAAATTTGATCAGGTAACCTGGGTGTCTATGCTAATTCATCTTAGAAATGAACTCATTGATGTGATCCTCACGATTCCTCAACTGCGAGAATTATTGTATCATCCTGGGCCAATACTATAAAACTCTCTCAGACCGTCCTCTAAGCATATAATGTCATATTGGCTTCAAAGAGACCACTGAAAATCTTTTGCAACCATAAAGAGAAATATATATATATATATATATATACGCTTAGAGGACGGTCTGAGAGAGTTTTATACAAGACATTTAATGTATTCTGAAATTAGTAAACGCTACTGACAGATGGAAATAAATAAAACATAAATTTATTCAATTTATCTTCTAAAACAGAAAGACTTTTGATAAAGAAGAAAACAAATTTATGAGAGATAACACAAAAAACAACATGAAGAACAGAGCAACTCGTGATAATGTGAAGGAAACAAATTAATTTGGATAAAAAAACACAATAAACAGGAAAAACAAAGCATTTTTTTTTTATCTGCAATGATGTATTTGAATGAGGCATAAAGGAAAAAAAGAGATTGATTAAACAATGACATATTGTTGGAGATATTTATATAGATCATTGAGTATCTGAAAAGGTTTTGAAACAACTGATAATAAAAACTATAAAACTTGAACGATGAAAAGGACAATTATGATAATCCAGAGAAAAAAAATAAATTAGGGCTCAAATTAATAATACATTAAAATTTTAATAAATTAATATTAATCAATATTACCAAAATAAAATAATAAATTAACTTTGAATTATGCTTTTTCACTTATAATAATATAAGATAATAAAAATAATCAGAACACAAAGTGCCACGAAGACATTATAAGTGATATCTAACTATTGAGTCAACAAAAATAAACAATTAAAATGAATGTTAGATATGCAAAGCTTTTCACTTTGTAATTTTCATTTTTATAATGAAACATTTCAAAATATTGTTTTATACTTTTTAGAACTACATAGATACTATCACATTACATCACATCTTTAGTTGTAAATTGTATTTTAAATTTTATGTATTATCTTTTTCATCTATAAAAATTATAATCACAATATGCTATAAGAATAAATTAATTAATACAAATTTATAGCCTTTCAAAATTTTAGGATTAACAAAAAAATTATTTTTTCAATTATTATTGACATATGTGAAAGTTAACTTTTAATTTCTAAACGTCCTTTTAACGTATACTTATAAATTCAATTTCATCTTCAATTTTCTAGATAGCTGGAGGCGGAAAATCGAATATGTTTATTCGAATTCTTTTGTCAAAAATAAATTGCTCTATATATAAGATTTTATCGACATATGTGAAAGTCAACTTTTAATTTTTAAACTTCCTTTAACGTGTAAATTACAAATTCAATCTCGTCTTGAATCTACTAAACAACTGGAGGCGGGAAGATGAATGTGTTCATTTGGATTCCTTTGGCAAAAATAAATTGCTTCATAGATAAGATTTTTATTTTGGTGTACATATTAAATCTCCTAACGAAATAAGACGTTAGAAGATGAATGTGTTCTATACATGAGATTTTTATTCATTTTATAAGATGAATGTGTTCAATCGAATTCCTTTGATAAAAATAAATTGCTCTATATATAAGATTTTTATTTTTGTACACAGATTAAATCTCTTAATGAAATAAGATGTTGGCTCAATCATTAAAAACATTTTAATAATCTTAGACTTCAAGTTCAAATTTTAAACGCTATATTTTTATTTTTCAAACTCCCTAATTTAAAACACAGAAATTCTATTATTTGAAAAAGAAGAAAGTTAAGTTAAAACAGATCATGTCAGCCATGCGAAATTTTAATTGCAAAAAAAGAAATAAATGGCCCATGCAGGTCTCGAACCTGCGACCTTCGCGTTATTAGCACGACGCTCTAACCAACTGAGCTAATGGGCCCTGATGATTATTTATATCGTTTTTTCCTATATTAATATGGTTTCTATAATCTATATTAATATACTGAGGTTATTTGAGGGAGAAACAGAACGGAGGAGAAACCCATTTCAGCCATGAAGGACGATTACGAGGTATCGAACTTTCTGCTTTCTTCCATTATCCTGGGTCTGGTATCCTTTTGCTTTGTAGCCCTAATTTTTTAATTTTTGTTGAGTTTTTAGTTGCGACTTTAGGTCTTTTGCTTTTGATTTTAATAGACTTTCCACATTGTTTGTGGTTTTTTGAAGCTTAATCGGAGCTTCTTATTGGGTTTTTCTTTCAAGTCTTTAGCAAGTAATTTAGTCCTTGTATCGGATGCAGTTGAACAATTGTAACAATTTCTTGTTTTGGTGGAAAAAGTGACATACAAGATTACGATTAAGTCGGTATCTTTGATCAATTTGAACCAGTATTACCAAACATAAAGTAGTTATAAGAATGGAAGAAAGAATCTTGAACCTTGGATTTTGAAATCCCGTGCCCTTGTTGTTGGTAGTATTTAAGTCTAGAATGAATATCAAAACTGGGGAGAAATCAAATTTATCAAAATTTGATGATCATTCCAAATGCTGAAATTCTGAATATTATTTAGTGATATCTCAATTGGTTTATGTTTGTAATCAATCAATTCTTTGAGTAATTAAGGAGCTTCTTCTTGCATCTCTCTCTTTTTTTTTAAAGAAAGTAGTGTTATGTTGTCTTTGTTTAATTATGGTGTCATCATGTCTAGCTTAGGCACACTTCTACTATTCCACTGGTTACCCTACTACCTCTTAGGCACACTTCTACTATTCCACTGGTTACCCTACTACCTCTTACCAACACAGGGGTACTGGGTAATTCTGCATATCAAGGTTTAGACGACAAATGTGAAGAAATCACCTAGTTTGATTAAGCAAGTAGTGAATATTGATTTCTAGACTCTAGTTTTGCATTCTGTGGCAAAAGATTACCTCCTTAAAGGCAATTGCAATCAGTGAAGGCTTAAGAAGTGGCAAATCTACCCTTAATCTTTCTTTAAAGCAGGAACGTAAAGAAAAGGAGGTATATTCCTCAGATTGTAACTTTGACTAAGTTTGGTAAAGTGCTAGCTAAAGAAACAAAAAAAAGGAATCGGATCAAAGTGAAAAATGATAATCTAGAGTGAACCTTTTTTGTCCATGAAATAATTTTGTATGGGAAATTTTGATTGTTAATAATGTTGAAGTGGAAATCCCCACTAAATGAGAGTTTTCTTCATATCTCTGAGGATTGATGGAAGTGTTTGACTGTGAAATATAGAGATATAGGCATATATATTTTATTCTCAGAAATAGTCTCTTATTTTTACTTAGTTTTTGGTGTACCGTGAAGTTCTTATTAGTTCAGAAGGTTGTGTGACGTTCATACAGATGCTTATCATTGTGGGTTTCTCTATTTTTCTTGTATTAAGCTTGTTTACAGGAGTTTTTACATTAATTAAATTATTTACCTTATACAAAAAAATCTATTCAAGATTAGTTTGATTGTTAATGATTTTTTAAGCATTTGCTGTCATTTGTCTTTTCAATACATGTATTTGGAATGCCACTGGTGTGTAAATCAATGAGTTAACCCATCTAAGATGGAAAATAATGTAAGATATTATTGGCGACTTCAGTGAACTGTTAATGTTCTCCTTATTTTTGGAGTGACAACTGATTGCTGAAAAGTTAAAGTTTGATTACCATTTACCATGCAATGTGCAAGAGACTTTTTGCAGTTTTTATTTCTATATTGTGTTATTAGCTTTAACTCTCATTTACAATTCCAGATCGAAGAAAAGAAGCAAGCTGCTGCAGATGTTTTGTTTCAATATTCAAATTTTGTTATGGCCTGTATTGGTAATCAAGTTCGGCCTTGTGACTTGAGACTGCATTTGATGAAGGTAAGATGCATTAATGACTTTTTCTTGCTATATCAGTGTCACATGGGAACAATCTCATGAGTATAGTTGTGTGATAAGCTCTCAAGTTTGAGGACCCCAGCCATGTTATTCTTTCTTACTTGTATTCTTCTGTAAGTTGCCATCTTTTGCTTAATGTAAACCGTTGCATGAAAACCTAACAATGAAAGGACGCTGCATGAAACCCTATGCTACAGTTTTTGTTGGGCAATTTGGTTAATTAATGTGTGTATTCGCGATAATCTCATTTCTTTCGACGGAGTGATTATTTCGCTTTGGAAGGAAAAAAGCATGTCAAATAAGGTTCATTCCAACTTAGAATGAAACTGAATAAAACAATAAAAGATACAGGTAATTGTTCTTTCCAACAAAAATTTCATTTATTATGTCATCCAAATTTGATAAGAATTGTTTAATAGGTCTATTAAATGGTGCATCCTAATACGTTCATTTATCTAGGGTTTTGTAGTTCATGATTCATCTTCATCCTCCATGTTGATACTTTATGTTGCAGTGAAATTTTAAACTGTCCTTTGCTAAATGTAAGACTGGGGGCTGACTAACAGTAAACAGCAATTGCTACTGTGGCCATCTCTGAAAGTGAAGCACTGTATTGTGTCTGTAACGATTGAATTGAAGCATTTACCTTTTTCTTCTTATAACCCCTAAGATGAGATAACTTCAGAGGAAATAGTTCTTAGGGTTTTATTTGCTGTGGTGCTTCACCTGAGCACACATGCCTGCATTTAAGATTAAAATAGTGAAGTCACTGCATTATAAAGAGGAAATATTACATCTGCACCTGATATTTCTGTCTGAAGGAATCATAGCAATAATCTATATCTAAGGCCTGTATTTCCGGTGGCAACTGGTTTTGATTTGGCCAGGGTTGTTGATTTTCTCAAATTTTGATTCCTTCAGATAATGGTATAAATAATTGCTTGCTATTGAATGTTGAGTGGAAAATCAGTCATCTGAATTCTTATCGAGTGCAAACATTGCAACATGACATTCTCTATCCTAATCATGAAATTGTGTAAATTTAGCCTAAAGAAATGTTACTCCTTCTAATTTTCTTTCAGGAAGTTTCAGGACTGCCTACTTCTTTGAAGCGCGAACACCATCCAACATCTTCTCCTGATGTAATGGGAGAGTCCTCAAGCTCAGGTATCTCAAGACTGGACAAAGCAGACAGTTTCCGAGGTCCTTAGATTTGTGAAGTGCATTGTTCGCTATGTTTCTAGTTTGCTGTCTGGAAAAATATACTATCAGTTGCTGTACTGCTTGAGGCATGTAGGATCTTGTTCATTTTGTCAGGGTCTTCGGTTATGCAATCTCTGTCGCATTTATGTTTTTTAAGACAATTATTTCTTTCATCATGACATGAGCACACACATTTTAGTTCTTCTTGATCACTATTACTCAACTTCCAATTGCAAGTCAGCAGGAACAATATCCTTTCGTCCTTTCAAACAAAAATGGAGAACTGTCATTGTTTCTTCCCCTTTTGCTCGTTAAGCTTATCTGCGCAGTTTTCACTTGTCATTGCAGTGAATTACATAAATTAAATGGGTCTTGGGCTTTAGCTCTATTAGATGGGAGCGCACAGTGTTTTAAAAGGAGTAAGCTTAGAGTGGAGTGTGGAGTGTGGAGTGTGGACTTTGGAGGAATATATCTACGGGTCACGATTTGAAATTGATGTGTTTTGAATTTTAACATTTTTGAATTAATAAATCGTAAAATATTTTTAAGATACGTAAAATTTTAACCAAGACTACCAGGTCAATCGGCATCCATCTTCCGCCCTCGTGTAATAGACGGGAGCATAAACTCCAAGCCTAAAATAAAATATCTTTTCTTTTGTTTTCCATATACAATTTTAAAAGAAATTAAAATCTAATAAATAGATAAGAGATGATATTTATAATGATATTTTAAGTCAATAATTCTTAGTGACCGATCCCTCCTATATATATATATATGATACAGCTTGTCTCTTTATAAATTTTAATTAAAAATTGTTTTTGTAAAAGAAATTAGGATCTGCAATGTATTATAATATTTGTGCGACCATAAATGGTCTTATTAAAGATACGATTCGCTGTTTAAAATTAATTTATTTCAAATATAAAAATATATCTTTTTAAAAACTGGTGTCATGTAAATTCTAATGGGAGGATACACCCGGTGTTTATGCTACCTAATAGCAGTGGTAGATCAAGAACTACAAATAATTCTAGAGGCCTTCATTTGACTTGAGCTAATTTCAGTGCCACATGCCTCTTAAGTATTTTTCTTCCAAACAAAAAAACTGTACTAGTATTTTTATTTGATGTCTATTTTTCTAAAATTTTGAGATAAGAAAAGGTGAAAAATTATCAATTCTAAGAACCAAGTCTTTTTATTTTAATAGTCTCTTAAGATTTGATTTTTCTTTTTTTATTTTAAAGTATATATCAGAATTTATATTTTTTTAATTAACATATTTTAATTCTTGTCGTAAATAATACAAAAATAATATATACCTATAAAAGAAAAAATCAAAAACAAATTTTAGATGGAATTATATTATTATTTTAAGAAAAAAAAAAACATACAACCTTGTTGGTAAAAAAAAATGAGGCCACCATAAGTTTAGGGGCCTAAAAACCCTTTAGTAGAAGTGTAGGGACTAAAAACCTTTATTTTTACTAAAACAAAAACCAAATGCAAGGGTAAATTAGCAATATATATACTGAATTTGGTAAATAAATAATGAGATAGACAACGGCTAGTAAGCAAACGGTAACCTCCAACGGTCGTAAATTTGAAAATGTTTCCGTAAATTAAACCCAACTTGAAATTTTGTCAGTCCGTCTCTCTTCCTTCTTCCCTATTTTTGTTCTATTCTCCTAAGCACTTCTCAACTCTCCCTCCATTACTGTTCAGATTCCACATATTCTTGTCAATCACATTTCGCATATACGAAGATGTTGCAAGATATGTGGAATGCACCCCCAGGTTTCAGACCCACCAAGTCGGCTCCATCTTCTCCGGCCAAACCCCTTGGAGTCTCCAGAACTCGTTCCGAATCCTTTCACGTTGCCCACAAAGTCCCCATTGGCGACAGCCCTTATGTTAGAGCCAAAAATGTTCAAGTAAGCTTCTTTCCCTACATAATTTAATTTTTAACTTTTCAAATTCATTCGGGTGTAAGATAGAGGAAACAATCTCTTCGCCTCTAAATGTAGAGTTACAGTTATCTACATACACTTTGTGGTACTATAGTGGGTATGTTGTTGTTGCATTTGGGGATAAGATATGGGTTTTATTCCCTTGGAACTCAGCCCTATTTAAATCCAAGATCCACTTCTGTTTAGATACATATTTTCTTATCTTTGAAAGGAGAAGTCCAATCATTGTATTGTTGGTTGGTTCTACTATGGAAGTAACGTGATTTATTTTTCATTTATATTTTTCAGTTGGTCGAAAAGGATCCGGAAAGGGCGATTCCATTGTTTTGGGCAGCTATTAACGCAGGAGACAGAGTTGATAGTGCTCTCAAAGATATGGCAATTGTAATGAAGCAACAAAATAGGGCTGAAGAAGCCATTGAAGCTGTTAAGTCTTTGAGAACTAGGTGTTCAGATCAAGCACAGGAAGCTCTTGACAATATCCTTTTGGACCTATATAAGGTCTGCTACATTTTTCATAACAATTTATCATCTCTAGTATCTGAGAAGCTTATTACTGTTTGAATAAACACAGTTCTTCTTTATCCTCCGTTTAAATATCTGCTTAATTTGTGATATCTGCAGAGATGTGGAAGATTGGATGACCAAATAGTCCTGTTGAGGCACAAATTGTTTTTGATACAACAAGGTTTGGCCTTTAATGGAAAGCGTACGAAGACTGCGAGATCCCAGGGGAAGAAGTTTCAGGTTTCTGTGGAGCAAGAAGCAACTAGATTACTGGTAAATATAGAATTGTGAGACTTGTACTTCATAGTTTTGGATCTCACCTATGAAAATGAATATTGTTTGATAACAATTATTTGTCAATCTTCCAGGGGAATTTAGGGTGGGCGCTGATGCAACAAAATAACTACATTGAAGCTGAGGATGCTTATCGTAGGGCACTAGTGATTGCACCAGACAACAACAAAATGTGCAATTTGGGCATCTGCTTGATGAAACAAGGGAGAGTAGGTGAGGCAAAAGAGACACTTAGGAGAGTTAAACCAGCGGTGATAGATGGCCCCAGAGGTGTAGATTCTCATCTCAAGGCCTACGAAAGAGCACAGCAGATGCTCCGCGACCTCGAGTCTGAAATGATGAATAAAGGTGGTGATAGAATTGAACAAAGGAAACTGTTTGATGCCTTCTTGGGCTCTTCTGCTATCTGGCAGCCTCAGCCTTGCAAGGAACATACTACTAGCACTTTGAGTAAACCTACCAAGTTAAGCCAGCCTCAAGATGAATTTGCTAATGAGAACATCAATTCTACTAACATCATCAGAAACCAGACAGCTCCTTCTCTGCAAAAGAGTATGAACCCAAATATTTCGTATGGGAATCTACTCAATATCGATGCTCCACCATTTTATTCGACCAAGACTACGAATGAACCAGCAAATGTCCCGATTCCAGAGAGTCTTAAGAGAACAAGATCTGGAAACGCAACTCAACTAATGAGAAACGAGTCCCTTGGGACAATCATCAGTGAACCAGAAAATAAGATGAGAAAGCAGTCAATTTCACCAGAGAAAACAGAAAACATATGGGCAGGATTGCTGCCAGATAGCAAGGATTTTGAAGATGCTATAATTGCAGCCGCTCTGGGATCAAATCAGGAAACATTCAAGCCTGAAGGAAGCAAAGATACTGGAATCCTTCCAAGGAAAGTTGAGAAAAGATTGAGGGTTTTTCAAGACATTACTTTGTCGATGAGTCCACGAGCTTGACTAACTTTATTTATTTATTTATTTTAGCTATATGATTAGTAGGTCTAATTTCCCTTTTAAATTACGGTAACATCATTGATTTTTAACTATCATCGGAGATAAACTTGTTCTCCTTTACTCCATACTTCCTCAAGAAGGTGGTTATGTGGTAACACCCTAATGTCTTTAGGCAGCGTCTAATTATTGATATTGTTGGTGCCTATGGCAATTATTCTTCAATAAAAAGTTATTTCTTCTTTTTCAGTACTAGATTTCTCCAAGAAATGCAATTTGTGAACAATTCTTGCTCAAAAGGAATTCAAGTTTTTTTATTGAATTTTGATGAATGTTTACAACTGAGGTTAATAGGAGATATCCAAGATTTATTATAGCTGAACCATGGAGTCCAACTGTTCATATCTTTTCTTTCAATTGAGTTCACCACCAATGTTACTGGTACTGATATGACGAATGCTTAGCAGTCCTCCTGTTGATTACATAGAAGAAACTCAATATTACAACCGCGGCTGCAACAGCAACTCCAACTCCAACAGCCTTTTGTGCCGCCAGCACCTTCTTCACTTGTGATGCACTTTTTTCTAATGTTGATTTGATAAATGCTGAATATGGTAAGCCAAGATCAGCGAGCTTCTTGTGTGCCTCTTCATAGTCCTCAAAGAAATCCTCTTTATGCTGAATATGAAAAATCATTTTGAGTTGGAGATAATACAGTTGTTTAGGGGCCACAGTCCACAGTAGATATGTTTATAATGTTGAAGAGTTTTATGATGAGTTGCAACAATTGAACTTTGAGAATAGACATGAGCTATTATAATACCGTTGCATAACATTGCACGCAGTGGTGAAATTCCGGATCATCAAGCAGAGCTTTTTCCGCGGGACTTAAATTCTTCTTCTTGTCGAGGAGGTCCCTAAGATATCATTTGGAAAAGCAAATATGACATTTTTTTCCTTGTAATGAATGTTGAAATATAGAAGAAGTCTGGGTGTATAGTAATCTTACACAAAGTATGAGTTGTCCAATTTCAAATTTGTAGCCTGAGCTCCAGCTGTGGCCTGTAGCAGCAAACCGAGAAGAGGAACGATAAGACGAAACAGCATTTATATACGTGTGAGAAATATGAGTATATTGATGCAGATCTATATATGCATATACCAGTTTGAGACCTCCATATAATGCTACTATATGCTTGGGATCAGAGATTTTCACTTTTCGGAAGACATTTCTTAGTTCTTCTGGACCTGAAAAAACAGCATCGAAACACAGTAAACAACAAGACGTATGGAGGAATATAGCAACTTCAAAATGATATATAGATCAGCTAATTTACATATAACTTACTTTGTTTGACATCAGGAAGGCAGTTTTCATCTGGTAAAATTAATGATTCCTGGTAGAAAGGTAGCAAAATTTAGTGATGCGTTTCAAATAAATAATAGGGTAAAGAAGTTTATACGTCACTTTTCAGATTTCAAGAGTCAAGCAAGTCTATCTGTGATCTTAAATTTTTCACAGGTCTTTTAAACATTTTGAATTATCAATTATTATAACTCGTAGTATATTTTACGTAGTTTATAAATATATAAATTTCATTTCAAAAAAATTGAAGATTTCATGCGCAAATTTCCTGTCAAACTTATATTGTTTGACTCTCAAAACATAAAAGGTGTCATATATAAATTGGGACAGAAGGAGTAGTATACTAATTAGCATTGTCCCAATGTATGTGGTACAATTTTCATTTTAGTCCGTTCCTAAAATAATGTTATCTTTCTATAATTAGAAATATTAACTTTAAAATTCTCTTTCTTATCCTTGATTCACAGTCACCCGGTCAAACAGGTTTAAAATCACAATTTTTAAAAGTCTTTCTTAAACTGTATGACATAGGATTATAAATTTTCATATTTCCTTTGCGTACCGTTCTACCAGGGACAAACTCGATGTCTATACCACCAAGTTCTTTAACAGCAACAATCCCAGCAAGCTGCAGTACCAAATATTCAACAATTACTAGCTTGCATGCATCTGGTGTTAATTAAATTAGCAAATTACAAAACGGATAATTATTATTGATACAACAAGTATATATATATCTCACCTGATAGAGGTCAGGATACGTTATTATGGGATGATTGGCCTTGATTTTATCTGCAATATAAAGGCATTAATAAGAAGGTGCATAGTACTCCCTCTGTTTCGATTTATTTCTCTTACTTTCTTTTTTTAGTCTAATTCAAAAAGATACACCAACAATCGATTCATATGAAATATAAACTTACCAATTGTGTTGAGAGAATTATTATTGGCAGATTGAGTTTTCTTTTTTGTGGCATCATGAGTAGAAGTAGCATTTGCTGCATCATCGTTATGATGAGAATTGGCAATTGTGAATTGGGATGCGTACGCTAAACGAAGGAAATCAGGAGCACTGAACTCCTTCGATTTTACAAGATTTCCAAGTTCTATTCGTGCTTTGTTTATCTCTTCACGATATTTCTCATCTACTTGTGGCGCCATGAATGGTACGCTGAAACTATATATTATGCCAAATGATCTTCGCCTTTTGGCTTAACTTTGATTTGATGAATGAAAATAGGAAACGGGAATTATATATAGAGCTAGCACTGGGGAGGGGAATTTTGTAAGGGTGATGTATAGAAGCAATGAATATAGAACAATAAAAGAAACGAATTGGTTATTTTGCTTCTTACGTATGACAATGATAATGACTCGTGAATAGCATGGAGGAGAAAAGGAAGTAGACGTAGGCATTTTATTGGAGGAAAAAGAAAGGAATCATTTGTGATTTTTTGTAAGACGGAAAAAAATAGGCAAATACTAATTAATATTGGATTATTTATGTCAAAATTATTCAGCAATTAAGCTCTTTGTAATGAGGAAATAAAATTTGAAGCAAATTACTCTATCCGTTTACGTCACAGTTTGATTCAGTACACCACTAAGAAAATAATTAATGATATAAATATTTTAAAAAAATATCCCTTATTAGATGATGTCTTAGAAAATGATTTGGGAAAAAGTATTTGATATTAAGGATAAAACATGAGAAAAAAATATTTTTTCTTAATATGTCAAAAGTAACAAATAAAAATGAAAATTTATTTTAGAAATAACTGACTAGTAAAAATTAAAAGGATATTTGGAACTTTTATGTGTGAAACTCCGCGTCATCATATATATTGGATTAGGGCCTTGGGGGTGTCAAATTGAAGGTTGGATTGAAATTAGAGATATTAAAATAAGTTGAAATAGAAATTGAGTTGGTCTTGACCCATCCAAATTTATTTTGGGCTCAAATGAGTTAGATTTAAATGGACTAAAAATTGTGTTAGGTCATGAGCAGCTTAATTTCAATAATTTTATATATTGTTATTTAACTTTTATTACCTTCAATATAGAAACATACGTTACATCAACGCAAATAAAGAGTTTTAAAATGAGTTGAAATTAGAAATTAAATTGGGCTCAGTTGAGAATTATCTTAACATGGCTAAGACTTGAATGAGTTAAGATTGAAGCCAATTTAAATTATTTTTATTCCAATCCTTAAAATTCTAGACGAATTGGACGAATTAGCGTCAGTTGGCTCATTTTTGACATTTATAGTTGTCAATTATCGAACTTTGGGACAATTTCGTATATTCCTGATCTCTTGACTTCAACTTGCGCTATAAAATTGATACTTCAACAATATTGCGAATGTAAAATAAATTGCGAACCCAAATATCGGACGGTAAGTTCAATTCCAAGTTAGCTAAGAGTCACCAAAATTTGTTATTTTAAATTCTTAAATAACTCAACATTCTACGTTATAGATTTTCACATAACTTATATAAATATTAGTAATACATGACTTAATGTTGTGCTAGTAGCATATAATTTTATACTCTAGAGAAACAAAATTGTATGGAGTATTACTACTCCTACAATGAACAGAGAACTACCAAATGACGAACAAACAAACGACTAAAATAGTCGATTGCATTGATTGGACTAAAACAACCCCCATTTTGCCATTTCAAAACTGATACTAGCATTTGGATTTAATTAAAGGCTATATATTTACAGATATCTCAATGGAGTTTTGACCCGATAGTGGAGACTTCGCGCGTATATGAGATTAAAATTACAACGTATCTCTAATTTCTTTTATGCTCTTGTGCGATAAACTATAATAAGTGACATTAAAACTAGTAGAAGACAGAGAAATGACAAATGTGATGCCAATCCGTGAACAATTCTTTCTCAATCAGAGAATATTTTTGAAACATGAGTAGGTCTATGATATTTCAAAGCCACCAATGACATGTTATTTTACACTCGAGTAGCTACACTCAGCACATCCCAAGATTTATTGATCAAACATAAAGAAATACTAGCATCATTCTTAGCGGTGCCAATAACAATCGCCAATTTTGATGACATTGAATTATGGAGCTATTCAGTTTCCATTTTGCTTCAACTGAGTTCCCCAATGTAATATTGAGCTTTATGGAACGTGTGTGCTTACTAATGCTTGATTCTCCTGTTGACTTCATAGAAGTAACTCAATATTACAACAGCTGCTGCAACAGCAACTCCAACGGCACCTTGTGCCAACACCGTGCTGTTCTTTACTGTTAACTTGAAGCAAGATGAAGGTGGTGTGAATCCAAGCTCTGAGAGCTTCTTGTGTGACTCTGCATAGTCTCTGAAGAAAGCCTCTTCGTCCTGTCACACAAATTAGATATTAGCTATTGCAGAAAACTTTACCAGTGAGATCGCCAAAATTTTTGAAGAATAGTGTAGCTCATTAGCCAAATAGATATATTTGATTGTGGTTAAGTTGGATGAAAGATTCTACTAGATAGTTGTGTATTATTTTGTTTACAAATTAAACATATATGGGAGTGAAAGACCTTGGTGCTGGGTGGACTAGTCAAGGATTGTACCATAGGCTTAAATATCAAGTGTCTCACAGCAAACCAGAACTACTTAAGGTTGCAAAATATTCCAGTACCCCTCACATAGTTAACTGTTTGTCAAACCATCAATAGGAAATAATAGTCTAGCATGCAAATCCTTTAATCATCAATGTATATCGACAGAGTGACAAATGAGTGGAGATAAACTTCCACAGTTTAGTCAGCCTTGCTGGTTTTCTATGTTATTTTCCTCCATGCATTATGCAATGTAGTGTGGTTACAAATGTAAACTATGTGTTGCAACAATTGACCATTAAAACAATGCACGGAAATATGAGATATAATACCTTTGCATAAAGTTCAACATAAGGGCGGAATTGTGGATCTTCAACCAAAGCTTTATCCGTGGGAAGCTTTAAGAGATCTTCTGAATCCTCCTTGAGGAGCTCCCTAAGAGATCATTGTACCATTTAGGCAAGTAGTCATGAAATCATTCTTTTAACAATGATGAAATAAAAAAGAGGTTCCACCATATACTAATCTTACACAAAGTATGAGTTGTCAAATTTCAAAGGCTCTTTAGTCCAAGGGCCCTCAAAGCCAGATCTCTCTGGGTGTGCTCTTCCCTGTAACAGTGAACACAAAAGAGGAACTTTAAGACAAACAGCATTATCATTTGAGAGAAATATCTAAATATCTAAATGCAGATTCATGAGACAAAATACCAGTGTGTGTCCTCCAGACAATGCTACTATATCTTTATCAGAGAGTCCCATTCTGTAAAAAACATCCCTCAGGTGCGGTGGACCTAAAAAGGCATTATAACATGGAACAAAGTAAGTGATGAGCAACATGCAGAGAATTATGTTTCAAAATCAGAGCACTGAGTTGTAGAGCCCTCTCAGAAATTCATGCCAATTCTTCTAATTAGTCAAAGGTAGCTGGCAGTTGTTTTAGCAATATTTACAATTTTTGCAATAGGATATCACCAAGTCCAGTTCAATGTTCATAATATTCAAGAGCTCTCTCCGATTGGAATATATTTTCCTTCACAAAATTTTCTTTAGAATAATGGGAACCCCACATAAAACATGTTTAGGAGGCAACCAGTGCAAATTAGCAAAGAGACATCTCCAAGGTTATTGACATCACTTCTACATAGATGCAGAACCAAGTAAAAGAAAATAATATTCAAGTTGTTCAAAACAAAATGATGCAACAACAATAATCAGGCACAGAATATGGCATAATGAGGATAATTGAAGCAACTAGGATAGATGAGGCTCCACTTGATTTTATGCACTAAATCAAGTTCAACTCAATATTCCATTCGCACCTCAGGTGCCAGTAAGGTTAAATCTTAAACAAGCTAGCTATTTTTCATTATTTTTATCTTCTATTCTCATGGATTCCTTCCCTACAAGAGGATGAGGATCCTTGTCAATTTGTGATACTGATAAGGTTACCTGTTCAATCAAATGAGAAGAATCCCAGAGGGTAAACTTCACATTTTGAATTAGAGGAAAAATTGAGTTTATTACCTTTTATCTTAATTTCAAGTAATAGATCAGCCAAGCCAACTTTTTAGAAGACTAACCTTGTTTAGCATCAGGAAGGCGTCCCTCTTCTGGTGAACTTAATGAATCCTGATGTAAAGGTGGAATTTACTAATTAAAGACAAGCCCATCAAATGAATTTGAAGTTCAAAATAGTAAAAGGAGGCATGTCTTCATCTTTTCTGTACCTTTCTACCAGGGACAAAATCAATGGTTGGACCTCCAGTTACCTCAACAGCAACAACTCCAGCAAGCTGCAGTCCAGAATAAAAAGGTAATTACGCACAACTCAAATCCGTAAAAACCATAATATTTTTGCTCCTCTGCATTACTACTACTAATACAACTAATATTAAACAAAACTTCCCCAAAATTTTGAACAGATCTTCGACACAAGTACTCTCACCTGATAGAGGTCAGCATACGTAATTTTAGGATGTCTGGCCTTAATTTCTTCTGTACTCCATATAACACAAAAGATTATTAGAAGATAGGATTTAGTATCTTCAAAGTTAATGAAACTGACAAAACAAGCACTTGTTGTAAACAAAATATGGCATATGAGGAGGATGTGTACTCAGCAGACAAGGACCAGTCTATCTTCATTTAGAGAAAACTTAGAAATTGTCTGTTTTTCTTGAAAATAGTAAAAATTTCGCTAAACAGGGAGGAGATGATAGATACATACAAAGTTTTCAAGTCGCTTCATGATCTACAGTTCTAGTAAGGGAGTTTATGTGTGGCTGTGTAAAAATTAAACAAATTCTAACCTCTCCTAAATGCTTTCAACTGAAAAATGATAACAGTACGAAGTAAATTTCACTTCCCATACTAGGAACAAAGAAAGAGGCATAAGAAACTGTTCACCACAAAGAAAGACTCCAATTATATGCAGAACAAACTAACAGAATTTCATAAATATGATATGATAAGCTTTTCATCTTCCAATAAGAACTCAAAAACAGTATGCAAAGCGATATAATAAAACATGACGTGATTAGCGCTGTTAACATCCAAAAAAATCAATCAAAAGCACTCATATATTTGAACTAAAATCATTACATTATCAATGAACACAAATTCATTTCCGTCAGATTATCACTAGATCTCTTAT